GGCTCTGATCTGGCTGTGATCGTCGTCCTGCTGCGACGTAAAATAATTCCTGATGTCACTTGGGGGCGGACGTTAAATTGCCTCTTGATCAGCCAGATCATCCGAGTGGAAGGCTCGTCAGCGTACGAGGGTAAATAAGAGTGCTGTGGCTGCCTTGCTCGACGATAACCCGGGGCACAGGGGTGGGATCGGATTGCACACGCTTGGCTTCTGATCCGAAGAAACGTGACACCGTGACTTTGAGAAGAACAAAGGGAGGGGTAGGTTCTAGGTGATAAGTTCGGGTTTTAATTCCATGCTATGAACAGACCCAGTCAGCCAACATTATTTTTATTTTTGATTAGTTAGATGGACAGCCATTTGACATCTGACAGAGCATTAGTTTAGAATATTGTTTATTCCTGATGCTTTCTCTGTTTAAGAACTAATCTTACTAAAAATAGTATTGACAGCAGGAATCTGACTTACCTGTTGACCCCAAATGAGATCTGTTCCAAAAATAGCCACCACTAAATAGTTGGTCTGTGCACTAAGCTGCGGTAGGCATCTAGAATRATCTAGTGTAGACATTGCACAGTGTTGTAGTCCATGAGCAACACAGGGGACACCGGAGAGGACGACCGCAGGATCTTGCGATCTGCCAGAGGCCCGTTAACTCACGTGTCCCTAGGACCGGAGGGTGATAGGGAACTGTTCCGCCGGCAAAGGGAGAGGAGAGCTAGAGCAGCCGAGGCCAGCAGAACCTTAATTGGTGAGGCTGGTGCTACAGCAGCCATGGCTACAACAGCCATGACCACGTCTGCGCAGCAGACTTCTCAAGCCGGTAGTTCAGGTACCGCCGGGTCCACGGTCGCACAGACCGTGAGTCAGTCTACTGGCTTAATGGCAAGCCAGCCCGCGGTGTTGACCCCGGAGGATGTCGCCATCCAACAGGCAGCCCTGCAGGAGGCACAGCTACAGCAGGCATTAGGAAAGATAAAAAGGGAGAAAGAGATGATGATTAGAAGAAGAGCCAGGATGCAGCGAAGAGAGACAGATATAGAGGAGTTAGAAACGATGGACCTGACGCATATGGATGATGAGGTGAGGGTAGTTAGGAAGGCCCTGCTAGGGGTTATAGAGATGCAGGAGCACCAGACTACCATCCTTCAGGACATTCAACAGAGTCTGGCCGTATTGTCAGGCCGCGCTCAGGCAACACCATCACCAGCCGGGCCTGGTGCCTGGCCCGTGCCATATCCTCCTTTTTCTGTCCCACCGGTGACAGGGGTATCCCCATATGTAGCCCCTTCAACGGTTGCAATAGTTTCTCTGGGCATGCCGCTTTCAGGAGGCGTAACAGCAGGGAGTAGTTTACAGGTTCCTGTACAGACAGTGTTTACTCCAAGTCCGTCACAGGTTGCAATCACCACGCAGCCTACTGTCTCGCAGTCAGTGCAACCTCAGGGCACACAGCCCCAGCAGCTAGCACAACAACCTGTATCGCCGGGTCCACAGCCCGGGTTGGTGCAGGGACCGGGTCAAAGTCAGTGGGTTCCAAAGACGGCCATCGCCGCTCCCAAACCCTTTACAGGGGACAAGAGAGGCGAAGATCTTGACACATGGTTGAGGGCAGTGCCGATCTATGTCAGGTGTAAACTCACCTTGCCACATGAAGAAGTGCTTGTGGCTGCATCCTACCTAGAGGGTAGTGCAGCAAGATGGTTAAGTGGGTTAGTCCAACTCCAGGGATACGGTCGTGACTTCCGCTCTTGGGCAGCCTCTCAAAAATTGGAGGACTTCCTGAAAATGGTGGAAGAAAGGTGGCATGATCCTCAGGAGGCTCAAAAGGCCACTGATGCGATCCTGACGCTGCACACGCGGCAGTTTAAGTCAGTAAGGGATGCCACCGACGCTGTAGAGCGTTTGATTTGTGTTCCAGGGGTACGCTATGACCCCCAGGTCCTGTTAACTTCGTACTTGAGGTGCTTATCTCAGCC